ACACACACACACACACACACACACACACACACACACACTTGCTTGAATATACAATCCCAAGTAAGTGGAGATTCCTTTGAGATTATTCTCCAGCTGTTTCTATACTAATAAACCTCAGTAGGGAAAGAGGAGGAACAGTTTCTTTATTTTTTTCTTCTATTACTTTTCTGTTCACATAGTAAATGTTTCTGTAAATATTGCTACTATTGACTTTGCTTGAAGAGAACCCTTACTTACTGAATTTAGACACAGTAAACCAATTTATATTTTAATTTAATCAAATATACTAATATGATCAGAGCTTTAACTTGTCCTTAGCTATCTGTCATGGTCCTATAAATGCTTCTCTATACTTTTAATTAATGTTAAAATATTTTTTAATTCCCTGGAAAGGGAAGGCTTAGAAACAGATGTACTTGTTTTAGCATTGAGAGTTTATACATAACATTTCTTATTCCTTTAGGTTTGTCAGTATGAGAAGTGATGAAATAAGGCCTGAGCCATACAGAGCCTAGAAATTGGATTCAGCATGTTTGCTACATACTACAGAGAATTAATTTAACTTCTTTTCATTTTTCCCACCTTTGTCTGCCTTCTCCACAGGCTGTACATTGATGGTCCATTTGGAAGTCCATTTGAGGAATCCTTGAACTACGAGGTTAGCCTCTGTGTGGCCGGAGGCATTGGAGTAACTCCATTTGCATCAATACTCAACACCCTGCTGTATGTCATTTTGATCCATTTTATTCGTTCAAATAGGGAACTGTCAATATTTCAAACATCTCCCATTTAGTATGAGGTAATTCCTCACAGAATTTGTCTACAGTAATCCTCCCTCTTGCACACAGGGAATACATTCCAAGATCCCCAGTGTATGCCTGAAACTGCAGATGGTGCTAAACCCTACATATACTCTGCTCTTTTCTGTAAGCTTAACATCAATTTTCCACAATAAGAGATAATAACAAATATTAAAATAGGAAAATTATAATATGCTGTGATGAAAGTTTTGTGAGTGTGGTATCTCTCTCTCAAAATATTTTATCGTAATGTAGTCACCCTTCTTGTGATGAGGTGAGATCATAAAATGCCTAGGTGATGAGATGAAGTGAAGCGAATGATGTAAGCATTGTGTGCTATTGACCTTCCGACAATATGTCAGGTGGAGCAGTGATTATCTGCTTCCCTGCCGCGGATGACCGTGAGGGTAACTGAAACCACAGAAAGTGAAACCACAGATAAGGAGGCACTACTTTACTTGTTGTTCATGGAACTCCATTTACTGATTGATGAGGGGAGTAATTCAGTGTTTCTCAATATGTGGTCTGTGGCTTTCAGCATGCTCTCTTGTAAAACATCACAATTTGGCATTCATCTGTCCTTTTTTAAAATAATTTTTTAAAAAGTTTATTTCTGGGGTGCCTGGGTGGCGCAGTCGGTTAAGCGTCCGACTTCAGCCAGGTCACGATCTCACGGTCCGTGAGTTCGAGCCCCGCGTCAGGCTCTGGGCTGATGGCTCAGAGCCTGGAGCCTGTTTCCAATTCTGTGTCTCCCTCTCTCTCTGCCCCTCCCCCGTTCATGCTCTGTCTCTCTCTGTCCCAAAAATAAATAAAAACATTGAAAAAAAATTAAAAAAAAAAAAGTTTATTTCTTCATTTCTGTGAGAGAGTGAGCGAACAGGGGAGGGTCAGAGAGAGAGGGAGAGAGAGACAGAATCCCAGACAGGTTCCGCACTGTCAGCACGTAGAGCGCGATGTGGGGCTCCATCTCATGAACCGTGAGATCACGACCTGAGCCCAGACCAAGAGTCAGAAGCTCAGCTGATGGAGCCACCCAGGCTCCCCATTTCTATGTCCTTTGAAAATTATTCCACCAACCTTCATTTCTCTACTTCCTCATAAATAGTAAGTGGTACTGTTCATTCATTCTGTCAACAAATACTTTGGAGCACCTACATGCCAAACCATCTTATAGGGACTGGTAATACAGTCATGAATGAAACATAGTCCCTGCCCTTAAAAAGCTTCCATTCAGATGGAGCAGGTGAAAAATAAACCAGTGAGAAATTCATAATAACATTATTTCAGAAAATATTAGAACTATGATAAAAAGAAGAGAGGATAATGGGATAAAAAAATAAAGGGTTGGGGTTATTGTAGAATTTTGGTCAGGAAAAGTTTTTCTCAGGAGTTAACAAATGAGCACATGATGCCTTGGCCTATTACTCAGCAAAGTTATAACAGACTGAAGAATAAAAATTTCAAATATGAGACTGCTTACCGAGTAAATACTTTTTCAGTTATTTTAGTTCTAAGATTATAAGCAAAAATTAATTGATTAATATTAATTTTCATGAAAAAATAAACATAATAGTAAAAACTTATTCTCAAATGTATTCCATTCACTTTTCAAGAAGGCACAATTTGCGTTAAAACTCTTTTATGGAGTACTAAAACAAGGAATAATAAAGTTGAAATGATGTGTTTGAATGATATTCAATTTTAAATGCTTGTTACAAATTTGGGACTTTTTGGAGGTTCTTAGAAAAATAACCATATTCCAAGCCAGGAATCATTTGCTTCTGAAAACATACTGCAAGTTATTTGGGCACTCCAAGTTAAGAAAAAGAGAAAATATTTTCTTAACCTCAAGTCGACTTCATAATTATAAATAGGAATCCAGACTTGGAATTATGAGTTACTGGAATGCATTACATAGTAGGTGGCTGTTACATCTCTTTCTTTAAGGATTATTGAGAAGGGGATAAACAACCAGCTTTCTGGAATGGTTTTGGCTCATTTTGCCTGGAGGCCAGGACACAACTGATGTCCAGTGGATCCCTGCTGAGTGATAGAATTCACAGAAAATAGAGAACTTTTTTCTGAGATGCAGGGTTCATATTATTCTGGTCCAGGAGTTTATTGCCTTCACACTGGAAATGGGTGATCTGCATATAATATTCACAAATAATAAACACTTTAATTCATGGAGTGTATCATTCCTCTGAGTCGGTATATTGCATTTTAAATTCGTTTGAGAGCTGTAGCAAGTCCTATGACAAATGATAAAATGTAAATGACTGGTTTTTCTGTGGGTTGCTTGCTTACTAATGAAAAGCAAATTTTCAGATACAGGGATTCTTAATTTTTTTTTCATCCTAATCCCTGCTGCGTTCTTTTAATTTTACAGGGATGACTGGGAACCGTACAAGCTCAGAAGACTATATTTTATTTGGGTGTGCAGAGACATCCAGTCCTTCCGTTGGTTTGCAGACTTACTCTGTGTGTTACATAACAAGGTAAAATTCGGTTGGTTATTTTTTTCATTAAAAATACTATTTTTTTTCAAGTGACAAAAATAATACTTATTATAGAATAAACCAGGAAACATGCAGATAAGTTGAAAGAACGAGAAAAAATTCTTAAGAGAACAGGAATAGCATGTTAATAATTTAGTACGTACATTTTCAGATGTTGCTATCTGAGAATATGTGTATATATCTATGGTATTTTTTAACATAGAAATGCTCATATTTGTGTTTTTTTTTTTTTTTTTTAATTTTTTTTTTCAACATTTATTTATTTTTGGGACAGAGAGAGACAGAGCATGAATGGGGGAGGGGCAGAGAGAGAGGGAGACACAGAATCGGAAACAGGCTCCAGGCTCCGAGCCATCAGCCCAGAGCCTGACGCGGGGCTCGAACTCACGGACCGCGAGATCGTGACCTGGCTGAGGTCGGACGCTCAACCGACTGCGCCACCCAGGCGCCCCTGCTCATATTTGTGTTTTAATGTAGAATATTTTAACCTGGAAATGTAGGCTTATGGTCGGTAAGGTATGCATATGGGGTGATGAGGGAAAGCATGTAGAGGGCCACATCAGCAGGCGGTTGCAACTATACTTTCCATCCTTCGTTCTGTTAGCTCTAATCTCTTATTTCCACCTTTAATATTCCAAATGGACCATCACCAAACTTTTGGCACACTAGGCAGAATGTCGAAAATCCCAAATTCTAAGTTTTATTTCTTAAATAAAAAGCAGGCCTCCTTCATCTATCCTACATGTAGCTTTTTATTTATCTGTTGATATATAGATCTTAATTTTTGCAAATTATACAAGTAATACAAATAAGCATTTTTGCTATAAATTTTATCTTTTTAGTTGTAGGATAGTTGACATATGGTGTTTTATTAGTTTCAGATGTATAGCATAGTGATTTGACAATTACACATTACAAACTGCTTACCACAATACATGTAGTCATAATCTTTCACCATAAAAAGTTATTATAAATTATTGACTAGCTCCCCTATGCTATAATTTTCATCTTTATAACTGGAAGTCTGTACCTCTCAATCCTTTTCACCGGTTTCATCTATACCACAACCCCCCTTCCCTTTGGCTACCCCCCAGTTTGTTCTCTGTATTTATGAGCCTATTTCTGTACGTTTGTTTTGTGTTTTAAAAAAATTTTAATGTTTATATTTTTGAGAGAGAGATAGAGTATGAGTGGGGGAGGAAAAGAGAGAGAGAGGGAGACACAGAAACCAAAGCAGGCTCCAGGCT